ATTCCAACAAGCGTCGTGAGATCCAAGTTGAAACGCTCCGCACTGCGCCTTGGAGGAAACAACGCTACTGCAGGAACCGAGCCGACCTTTGGGCCGTTCAGGATCAGTTATCATCGCCTTGTCGCCGTCTCCATGCATCCCCCCCCCCCTTTCTCAGACCTGGGTTCGGGGGCCGCTGGAGTGTGGGACGAGCGAGAGCGAGTGCAGACCAAAGCAGAGTGAGGAGAGGCAGGGGTCCAACGCCCTAACGGCCAATGGTTCGATATTCCCCGGCCCTATTTCCAGGCCAGGACGCCGCCTCCACAGAAAAGGCTCCAAGGGGGTTCCAGAACCCCGTGATGCAGTTGCCAGTACGGCCTGCGCAGTGACTCTGGCCTGCTGCTACACCGGTGTTGCCTACCCAATCGATCCGATGCCGTCCTCACTCTGGGTCTGGCGCTCAGGGCGCCTTGCATCCTCGAGGATACAATTCACACCGCGTTCTGGCCGCAGAGATTTCTATTGACTTTAGCGATATGTTTTGTGGTGCCTGCTCTTCATGCTCATTCATTCACAGCATGAGTACGAGTTTTTCTTTCTCGCTTGGCCTATACGGCATCGTATGGACCGGACCAGACGTCGAAAAACCGGCCTCTCGACCCAGGTTTCGGAGACCTGAAATGAAGGTACTATTCCCAGCTTGGATACCTCCAAATCGCTCGTGGCTTGTTGTCCTGAAAGGGCGTTCGACTTGCGCCAGGGCTCGGCCTCCACTCAGTCCTCGCGTGTTTCACGTTTCGGTCAGCACCTGAGTCCTGAGCCCAAAGCGACCCTGCTGGTGGCTGGACTGGTGCTGAAGCCACCGTCCTAGTCTGTCCACGTTCTTCCTCTCACCGTGACCATTGCCCCGCGACACCAAATGTGGCAAAGGTCCGACAGGGGACTTGCACTCGTGGCCTAGCGCCGAAGTTCGTCGCCCCCATTTGCACCCCCGTGCGTCCAGAAAAGGGGGTCATGGGGCAGCGGCTCCGTGGCAGTCCGCTTGCCCGCACCCATCAGCGAGATGCCGAACCTGGCGTGACGCTGTGCCTGAGCGTGACGGCCTTCTCGCTGGCCATGTCCCCAAATAGATTAGGTACCATTGCTATTTCTACAGTTCTGGCGCTCTGCTACCGCCAGCGCTAACATTCACCTGAGACGGATCACCTGAAGGCGCCGACGGTGCTGGCCGCCTGTACGATGACAGCTGTCGGGGCCCCCATAATCCTTTCTTCCCGTGTCATCGGAGCAACAGCAGCGGGATGGACAGCATGGTAATCTGGGGCCATAACAGACTTCCATGTGACGTATTTACGCCTATCTCGAAGAGATCAGCACTTTGGCTGCCGTCAAACCCTGTCAAAGGCCCCCAAAGGGTGGCTGTTGTTCACCTGAATCCGAGGGCACGAGAACCCCCCCTCCCGCCAGCTGCTCCAGTATCTAGCACATGTGCAAGAAAGGGCTACAATCAAAGTGCGATTGGGCTGCAGCCAAAAAGGAAACAACGCGAATCGGGGGGCTCCAGTTCATTTCCCATCTGCACGTGTTTTATCCACTTCATTCATGCGCCGTCGTCTGGGGCGGCGCTCGCGCTCCGATGCAGTGGGCATCGCGTGGTCATCATCTGCCCATGGCGACGCCGAGCTGGCGAACGGACGCGACTGTGCGAAATGACTCGAGATGGCAGGCTTAGCTAGCCATCTTGGCCCAGTGGCAGCACCACTGACATATGTTAGTGCCTGGTCGCGAGGCCCTGTGGTCTGCTGCTGTGCACCAGTCAACATTGCAACATGGCTGGTGAAAGGCTTCGTCTCATTTCACACTCCCGCGACCGCCCATACGGCCAAGGTACCTCCCGGAATCGGCGTTGTAATCACTTCATTCTGGTTTCCGCATCTCTGGGAGCAATGTTGATTGTCAAATCAATACTTGAGCCCGAGTGGTCCAGAATAGGAAACCAGCTCATTTTAGGGCCTCACAGAATTAGGAAGTGTCGCGTGGGAGTAATCACGGCTCGCTCGCCGAAGGTGATCGTCGTGGTCCTCGCTCTCGTTCTGCTGGGGTTGGCAGTCCAGCCTTTACTCTTCTTGGGCGCAATCGCAAAGAAACATTGTTTCGATCGCCCACCCAATTTCCCATGGGAGTCGTTTTCCACAACTCGCTCTTACCGAGCCTTCCAGAACGCCTCTTTGTTTCTCCTTACATCTTTGTCGGCAGCATGGTGCCCTGCTGGCGAAAAATCGAATGAAGAAGACGGCTTTCTTGGGTGTCTCTCCCCCGGGTCTCCACATGCTACCTCGACGGTCGCGAGCCGATGATACAGGGCATCGAGGACAGACAGGGCAAGGGGACGACTTCCTGAATGGGCACCCCTGCTGGTTGTAGGAACCCCCCCCCCCCTTTCTTCTTTGGGCCCCGGACAATCCGCTGCAGGGATA